AGACTTAGGTACCTAAGTCCGACTCAGCTGAGTTTTGTTTATAAATACGGACTTTATATTTAAGGCACAATTTAACCTTGTTATTAATATCAGAAAGCAAAAATAACTCCCTTAAAAATATATACGTACATGTTGTCGATAAAATTAATAATACATACCACACTATAAAGATCTCTCAACCAAAGAGCGATTTCCAGTTCTGTACATTTATACTTAACTACTTAGGTTAGGCAACACGTTTTACACTATAATATAATGTAGGTATACCGGATGAAAATGGACGAGAAAACGTTAATTTATCTCTTATTTATAATACATGGAAACCGTATCAAAAAGGAAGTGTTGCCTTACATCAAATGAGGTAGTTGAGGTGATTTTTTTATTAGTTGATGGTGATGAAATGGGTAATGACAAATCCAAGTTTTTCACCTCAAAAGCCCTGCGGATCACAGTTAAATACTTGAAAATTCATTAAAATTTAGGAGTTTTTTCCGTTTTTGTCAATTTTTACCACTAAGGATCTACGTTACGGCAAAAGTTACTATCGACACTTTTTAAGTATACTAAATTTGCAATTAAATGAGAATAATTTGGTTTTGGTAGGCCAAATAGTTTTTAAGATACGGCTATTTAAAAGTTTGTAAAATTTCAAAAAAGTTAAGTATTACATTTTTTTTTTAATTTTCGACAATTTTTACCCCTAAGTAGGGGGTTTATTGTAAAAGTTACTTTTTTTAGTCCACCAAATTCCCAACAAAATGAGACCAATTATGTCAACTTACACCTGATACTTCCTGAGACACAGCTGTTCAAAATTGTTGAGGTAAATAAATAATTATTTAATTTGGTTTTGGTAGGCCAAAGAGTTGGCAAAATTTCCCAAAAAGGGAGTACTACAATTTTTTTAGTTGTCTGTTCAATTTTTACTGAAAGTGTTTTTTTTTACTTTTATGTCTAACATAACATATATTAAATATTATAACACAATTTGTTTTTACTTTTATTTGCAACTAATATCACTAATATCAATATTATTAAGTCCCTCTGAATCAGATATTAAATATGTTTCTTCTGATTCAGACGAAACTTCACTATCTTTAAAACTTTCAGGAGGTTTCGAGGGAGGTTCTTGCAAAAGGGGTTTTGGGATATACACCTTCGAACTTATAATAAGATTCATTTTAAATTTCCCGAAGGGCGAAGTGGCAATGCCAGGAATTGCTGCTGCATCATGAAGATCCGGTGTATTTTTATTAAATAGAGATGAAAATCACCTCTAGTAAAAGGTTATTTTCCAGTAAACTTTTTAGAAGACATTTTTTTGTTTTCTCTTTTTCTTTTTTTGGTAGAATAAGAGAACTGGCTCTTGTATGGTGAATAACAAGAACTATGGAGACATTTGTGTGGTACTACCCACTTCATATATGTAAAGGTTTATCCATTATTTAAAAAATGAACAGTTTTCAAAATTATCTAGTATTTAAAAAAAGAAAAAAACATCGTTACTACAATGGTAGATAATTAAATAATTAAATTACAATAAAACATTTTCATTTTAATAAAGAGTATAGATACGAACCTCAAAATAATTTAGCTATTGCTTGAAACGTTTTTGTCTAATAATAAGTTTTGCGACAACTTTCGACTAATGAATCTTTCAATTTGTTACCATTCCCAGTCAACGTGTTGACCAAAAAATGCATCATTATGTACTTATGGTGACTACTGGACGTCTACATAGCATATATATTCTCATTTTGGAATATATAGTTATGGGCTTTCTGACCAAGTTCATCACACTTAATTAAAGAATATCTAGACCATTTTATTAGGAAAATATGTTGCTATTTTTTTGCATATATGAGTGTTTTTAAGACAGTGGAATGGTTTTATAAATCACAACCAATAACTGAAAACATCGTTTATTGACATAGACAAGTGAATTAACATAAAACATTACAACAGTACAGTTCATCAAATTTCTAGAGGTGTTCGACGCCCAGACAGAGAACGCGCTACGTGTGACTAATAATATAATAATAATAATAATGAGTTTATTCAATACCAAAAAAATATTTACATGTAAAATTACAATATTATGCTGAATAAACTACGACTAATCACAGAAGCGTTACCCCAGAAGAGGCTCAGCTTGTATTGTGATATACTTATTTAGTAAAGTCATACATTTGTATCCTTAATATTAATCTTAATTACTATAATAATTTCTATTATCATTCGAGAACTAAAAGATTACAATGAAATTTCAAAATTAAGTGAGTTGTCAAAATCAGGAATAGTTCATAATTATATGAGTTGTCATAATCGGGTGTATTGTCATAATCGGGTGTATTGTCATATTCGGGTGTATTGTTATAATCGGGAATATTGTTCTAATCATGTTGTCGTAATTTTATGTAATGTAATTAGGTATAGCGTCAAATTCAAATCTATTATTTTATATTTTATTATTTACCTATATTATATTATTAACACATTTTATATTATTTACATATTTGAATTTACAAACTTATGAAATATTGTTCTGTCACTTTCCCCTATCCATTTTTTAATTTTTTGTTTAAAGTGTTTGTATTGTTGTATATTTTTTAAAAAATCGGGAATTATTGAAAATATTCTAGGTGCTAGATAGGAACAGCATTTTTGACCTGCAGTTTTTTCGCATCTTGGTGTAATATATGCTCTTCTCTTAATTCTCGTTTCGTACTTGTGAGAAATGGGTTCTATTTTAATTTTTTTTTGTTTAGTAAATAATAATATTTTTAAACAAAAAATCTGCCGAATATCTAATAGCCCCGATAATTTAAATAGGGAGTTTGTGGAGTAAGTACGACTTTTCCCATATATTATTTTTATTAGCCATTTTTGAATAATGTCTACTTTTTGTAGGTAAAAGTTACTTACTCCGCCCCATCCTATTATTCCATAACTCAACTGCGATTGAATTAATCCATAATAGAGCGTCTTTAGGTGAACTTCAGTTAACAATTTTTTAAGGTGTCTAAATTTCCCTAACATGCCTCTTAATTTTTGTACAACCGATTTAATATGAAGGTCCCATCTTAGATGTCTTAGAAGGTCCCATCTAAGATAGCTATTGTACAGTCTGCTAAACAAGTTATTTTAAATAGTTTTTAATATTTTTAGGTAATTAAATTTTAAAAGTGTGGAATAGTTTAGGGATTAAATTGGTCTGATTGGACTTTCTTAGAACGTTTTTAAAAGCAGCTAAAGATAGTATGTAGAATTGAAAATAATTATTATGCCATAAAAGGTGTTTTGGAATTCCTTCAACCTTTTGAAATTGAGTCAGAAAATATAAATTTTATAGGATAGCGGAAAATACCTATAATTTTTTTGTAGGCCTTTGTAAATCGTGGAAATAGTTTATATTTTATTTCTACCTTATTAAGGAAAATGGTACTTATTATTAATAACGGTTGTTTCTGAAACATTACTAAAATTTTCGAAATTTTGTTTTTCTACAAAACAATAAACTAAACTATTTAGAAAAAAATTTATTTCTCTTATAATTTTATAAAAAATAACAGGGGAATATTTACATTTCTTGATCTATTAAACAAAACGATAAATTATCTCGACGAATGACACCATGTTCTAGTACGGAAGCTAGCTTTACATTTTTGTTGGTGGTTTCATGGGTTTCATATCAATTTTTTGTAATTGTAGTTTACACGTACATATACCTCTTAACACTTGTTTGCTTTATTAAAAAAGTGTGTTGTTGTGATTTACGTCGAAATAAGTCAAAAACAACTTGAAACCCCATATAAAATCAAAAAGGAGAAACGAAAAGAAATTGAGCCTGTAAATGAACACAACTCAGAAACAAAAATAGCTATCTAATAATAAAAAAATAAAATTTGATTCTTGTGCAGCTTCATCTATATCATTAACTGTTTTTGGTTTTTTAATGGTTTTTCTTGGTGATGAAAATTCCGATATCTCACGGTTATCGATTCTTTTTTTCTCTCCAGAAATGCGGACGACAGTGTTTTTAGATACTCCTGTGGCTGCAGCAACACGATCATTTACATTTTTAAATGGTATTGAAGGTGAATTAAAGTTTCCTTCTCTTCTCATAAACTCTATAACATTGGCTATTATTTCGCGAGATTGACTGTTAATCACGCGGCCTCTTAATTTGCTATTAAACTCCATACTTAGGTTCTATTAAACTGTAATGAGCAAAAAACACAAACGAAAATAAAAGAAATGTTTTAGCGAAATTTACATCTGACATTTACGTCTGAATGAAATAGTGAAATACTTGATGCGCAGAGTGTACTTTCATTGCGTAAATCCGTCGGGATCACTGATCTGTATTATTTTACAGATCAGTGGTCGGGATGCCTGTCAGTAGTGCTTTCTCTGTCTAGCCGTCGAAAGCCTCTAGAAATTTTATGAACTGTATGTAAAATTAAGTCAATTTCTTGCTCTCTTTGGGTGGGAAAGACCTTCATCAACGTCTTCATTTTCATCTATTTGTCTTCCTTCTACCAAGGGAGCAGTAAAACAGCATTTCTTTTAAAAAAGTTTTAGATTTTTTCATTATCTACAACTCTTGTATTGAACACTTTTCGCTAGGAGCTCACGTTCCGCCGCAAAACGTAAAAAACTGTTTTCAACCCCCAAACTGCACTCCCATTCCACCCTTTTCAATATCTCGTGTTTTTGGTTCTTTTAGTTATAACCCTAACAACATGTTCCACTTGGTCTTTACCAGTTATTAATTTTTTTTTTGTGAAATAGTAATGATTTTGTTTACGGCATGTCTCCAACAACAACTTTTAATATTAAAACTACGGATAATCCTACCAACTAATGCGCGAATCGTGTTCTCAAAAATTAATTTTACGAATTCGAAGAATGGCTAAAATCAGTTGAAAACTCACTGTATTATACATTATAATCTATGAAGATAAATTAATGAATAAATCAAAGATAATATTGATAGTAAAACGTTTTTTAATGACATATTTGATCTAGCTATTTTAAAATTTATTTTGTTGCTAAGATGGCGTGGAATAAATATGTAACGGTTGAGGTTCCACTCTTTTTGTGTATGTTTTCCATAATGATACAAAGTAAGTAGGCTTAACTATCTAAATGCTCAAGTTTTCATCCTATGAAAACTGGAACTCCGCAAAACGCTATAAATACGTTAAATGGGGCATGTTCAAAAATTTTGAAATTTTTTTTATGAATAGTAGAGTTAAAAATAAAACTACATTTTTTTAATTTTTTTTTTATCTATTCATTTGCCGGAGTTATGATTTTTTTTTTAATTTATGACGTCACCGGGAATAGACCAATAGGAGCTAGCGCACAACGTTGCCGGCTAGAAGGTTTACGAGAAGTGATGTACGTTCGTTTGTGTACTCCTTCTTACTTTTAGACTTCTAAAACATCGTTAAACAAATATCTTTTAAATATATACATAATATCAAATGTTTTTTGAAAGTATTATTTCTGTTTAAACTTTTACCATATTTAAAGTTTCATTGTTTTAAAAGTCACTTAATAATTCAGAAAATGGCAAAATGGCAGCACTGTGTATGGCATCTGTTATTATAGTGTCTCGATCAAGAATTTATTTGGAATTTGAGTATTTATATTTAATTTTGTACTTTTTATAAATATTATGACTACGAAAAAGTGTTTTGTTCCAGAATGTGATAATGATTCACATTCATCTTCAAAAATATTTATTAGTGTTCCTAGAAATTTGGAAAGAAGAAAATCAACCTTCTACTAGCGATGTTTCTCGTAAACTTTTTAATAAAAATACACCGGATTATCAAGATGTAGCAGCAATTTCTGCTAATTGTCCCCTTCAGGAAATTGAAAATGAGGTTACTATAAATTCTTAGGTGTATAACCTAAAAACCCTTCTGGAAGAAAATGCAGAATCTCCTGAAAGTTTTGAAGATACCGAATTTATTCATCATTTTGTGGAAGAAAAGTGATAAAGAAATAATAGAAAAATGTGGGTATTTAAACAAACTGGTTCCTGGATCCCATATAATGGCAGATAGGGGTTTCAGAATATTCAGCTACTTGAAAACATGGGATGCACTTTAGTAAAGCCACACCTAGTGTATCACAGAATGAAAAAAGTTCTCCAGAAGATGTACGATTAAGTAAAAGAATAGCATCTCTAACATGTGGAAAGAGTTATAAGAAGGGTTAGTTAATTTAACAAGTTAAAACCACATTCGTGTGTGAATTTTAAGCAAGTACATTTACTTAGTAATATCTGCATAATTACTTGTTAACTTACAAGAGTTTTTAAACAGCCAATGTAATTTTTTATAAAATTTTAACTTTTCGAACAAATCAAAGAGGAATGAGTACCTGTATATGCATAGATTTTTTTGGGACTAAAACTACCAAAACAAAGGCACCTATTTACAGCAGTTTAAAATGAAACATTTTGACAAAAACGCCTATGTCACAGTGATAAATATTAAAAACAACCAAGTTCAGTTGAATGTGGTAGCAAAGTCTATATATTCCAATAAATCGAGTAACTACATGTGGTATCACTGGTGACTGGTGATAAATTTAAAAATATCACAATTCTTGCTACCTTTTTCAAAAAACCAGAAAGTGTGCCTTCTTATCAATCCTTTATGAAAATGACAAGAGTGATAAATGTGAAAAAAAAATTTAATGTTGCTATTCGTTATTACGATAGTAAAACATGTTTGCAGTTCCATTTATTTTTTATGAAAATCTAAGTAAAAACAACCAATGTCAAAGGGTTATAATTTTTTTTCTGTTGAACTAAATATATCACAAAATTTAAAAATTGATCATAGGTCAAGCTAAAGTAATACCTTTATTGATAGTAGCTTTAAAAAAGGAGAAAGAATAATATTGACTTAAATTATTATTATAAACATTGGTGATTTTTAAGAAAAACTCTTCAATTATTGTTTACAAACAAAAATATAAAAATCTGTGAAAATTTTATTTAATAATCTTTTAATAAAAAATGAGAAAAATGAAGTAAAAAACAATTTATTTACAAATAAAAAATATATATACAAATCCTAAGAATATAAAAGTACTGATTTATTTTCCTGTAGTGGATGAAGAGGTTTCTTTAACAATCTAGCCAAGTGTACATCAATATTTACGCATTTTGATAAATTAGAGCCTTTCCAATAACACTGAATAGATGTTACAGATGGTTCCTCACTTCTTCTATGAAGCCACATATTTACAACCAACTGAAAAAAATAAAAGGGTTAGATATGCAGTTACAAAATAACTATATAACCAGCTACAAAATGCCTTTATTTTATGTAACAAGACGAGCAGAGCTTTACTAGCTCTGAACGAATCCAGTAAAGAACCTCGGATTTTCAAAACTTAAAAAAAAAAACAATCTCACCACATTTTCACATTTTTGAAGTATTATAAAATAAAAAATTACGGGATGCTTTGTTAGCTTCAAACGAATCCAGCAGAGCACCCCAGTTTTTTTTTAAACCACACCACGTTTTTTGGCTCCTACAATATTATAAAATATTCGAAATTTGGCATTTTAAAAAAAATTCGCAATTCCTTGCTGACTTCAAAGTTTTTTCTGAAAACAAATTTTTAGGATTTTAAAACAGCCTAAACATGTGTCATAAGTAGTTGTTTTTATATATAAAAAAAAATTAAAAAACTGAAGTGTCCTGCTGACTTTGTTCCAACAAAGCACCCTGTATTATTTAAAAATAGCAATTTTTTTAGTAAAGTTTTACAATATTTCAAGAGTCTAAAAATATTCTAAAAATGGGGTGTGGTTTTTAGAAAAAAAGCTTTAAAAAACCGAATTGCTCTGCTGGCTTCTTTCGAAGGTTAGCAAGCACCATGTATTTTTAAAAATATAATATTTCAAGTGCATAAATATATGGTGTTGCTGTTTTTACAGAAAAAACTTTATAAAATAGAGGTGCTTTGCTGACTTTGTTCGAAGCTATAGAGCATTTTAAGTTTTGCAAAAAACGAGGAGCATAAAATTTTTGAAAAGGGTATAAAAATAGCCTAAAAATATGGCATATTTTTTAACTCAAAATTTCATAGGTGCTCTGCAGCATTCTTTGGTATCATAATTATTACTAGGTTCACTAACAAAATCTGTTTCTAGATTATTTTAACACTTGCTGCGATTACAAAAAATGTCTATGTCAAAATTAGAAAAAAAATATTTATAGGAATAAAGGGCCTTATACACTGTTTATTATATGTAATATAAAAACAAAAAAGCATAATAAATATTACAAACCTTGACATGCAGCATATCCTAAGCATATTGTGCACTAAAAATTTTATTTTTGTTAATTACAACGCAACCACATCAGAAGGTTTTTGCCGTACTTTATGTTTAGGTGTAATTTGTCTCCTTCTCTCTTATGGAAAAAGAAATTATACCTATATTCTTGCTTGGTAGATCTAAAAATAAAACCTGAGATAAATATGTTTTACGTGCTCCATATAAACTGTAACTACCCACTATTAAAACAAAGTCTTACCTTTCTGACTTTTGTAAACTGAGTATTGTTAAAAAATGCAGTAATCATCTCGGTAATCATATTTTCGTTTACAATGGGTAAAACACTTGATTCAACTTTTATAAATCCAGCTGATTCATATTAATAATAAAATTAAACCAAAACAAAAAACTAAGGTTAGATGTTACTGATGTTAGGTGGTGTCAATTTTAATGTCACTTAGATGTGCGTTCACTTCGACATTCTGTGTGTTGGTTTGTTCGTTGGCTTGGTTTTGTATAACAAAAAAAAACTTTGACACAAGATGATTGGTCTATTCCCGATGACGTATAATTTCAAATTTTAAATTTCAATTGGGCTTAATTTAAAAACTTTTGGCTTTTTTAACGAACTGACTATTTAGAATAACTTGTATAGCGACTAACTATTACAATATAATTTATAAAACAGCATATCTCACATGTGAACATGGCCCATTGAGATATATAGATGGATTAACAAAATATTTTTATTTCAGAACTCAATAAAAACTAAGATACCATATGATCTAGATCAGTGTTTTTCAAAGTGTGCTCAGCGGAGTCATGGTGTTCCGCAAAGCCTCTGTGAGGGCTCCACGAAAATAATAGTCAAAATAAAAATTTTTTAAAGGAGTACTATAAGGAAGTTCGTCACAAAAGGGAGAACCTGGTGTAAGGACTTTTTTTTAGATTTCATTAAGAAAGGATCTGATTTTGCTTGAGGACCTTTTCTTTGTTTTTTAGCAGGGCTCCGTGAAATATTTCAGAAGGGTTCCGTCCCCAAAAAAGTTTGAAAAACACTGATCTAGATGATCACTTTGATGCGCATATTCTGGTATTCCAATGTAGTTAAAAAAATAGGTGTAACACATTGTTTGAAACTCATTTCGCTCTATAAAAGTTTGTCATAATTTTTGAGAATATCACGGAAAATAATTATATTTGCAATAAATTGTAAACATTTTATATTTAGAGATGTTTACAGGCTTTTATTTTCACATTATTATTTAGGAAACAAAGCAGGGCCCGCTCCAGCTTTCATGTCACCCCGGACAAACAGACAATTTCCTTTCTAATTTTGATTTCTGCAAATGTTTTTATTACATCTTTTAAGTTAACTTGATTAGCAATCTCATGCTCAATCGTTAAAATGGCCAACCAATTAAGACGATTATTTGAACGTAAAAAAATTCTTAATTAATTTTAATTTGGAAAAACTTCTTTCTCTACTTGCAATAGTTACTGGTATAGACAGCAATACTCTTAAGTAAACACTTAGCTAGGTTTATGGAACAATTTAACATTGTTATAAATTTTAAAACAGTGCCTGGGCTTTCTTTTTTGCCCATAAGCCTAGATACTGCGCAAATTTCTTCTACCCCATTAATTAATATTTCTAGATCGTTGCAATTTTTTAAAATATTATTTTAGATATAGCCTTTAAATCATATACAGGGTGTTATTGAAATACACGTAGACACCAATTTTAACTTCAAATTCTAAAATTTAAATATTGGGGAAGAGTCCCCTTTTCCGACCTACTAGTTTCCATATTTA